AGTAAATGAATTTCAATCTCAGGAATGGGTGCTTCTGTTGGATGTCAATGAATGCATTCAGGGTTTACTAGTCGAAGTCAGACCTGTTCTCTCCGGTACTGTCTGCGTTTACAAGCTGATTACTGAAGTCTTGTTACCTACACGTAATGGCCAAACTGAATACAGAGGTAATGGAAGTCTTTGTCATGTGCCGTAAACACATTCAGCTATTTGAATTGAAATTCCATGAGTAGTTCATATCCAGTAACAGGAGACTAAGAACTAACACTTACTTATCAGATTATCTTCATCCACGACAAGTTTAAAATTTTGCATACATTATGATTTCGCAAACTACGGTTTTTGCTCGCTTTTTAAAGCTTATCTTCGCTGAACGGCATAATATGGCCAGTTGCTTCGAGGTGATGACACAAGCTAATATGACAGTTGGTTTCACAATGCGAACTAAGTGTCAAAGGTGACTTTCTGAGCTTTCCACTTTGACCAGTTCGGAGGCTATGGTTAGGCGTATGAGAAGAAATAAAACGGAAATGCATTATTCTTTATTTTCACATAAACACTTTTTTTGCCCCTCACGATGGTACCTCACGCATAATCCCCTAGCACCACAACTCCCAAATTATACGGGCCTGGGGTTGGTGCTTGCGATCTGGGGTTACGCAACCTACCGTTGCCAAACTTTGCATGCTGACATGGAGGTGAGGAAAAATCAGGCAGAATGTTCAATTAACTAATCTACTTTATTTCTTAATACATAGGTGCTGTTCACCGGTCGGCCGTCAAAACGAGAACAAACCACAACATATCGCACAATCCTGCAATGGAAAGGGAGCTGTAATGCAAGAACTTGGACATGTTTTGGGTCTTTGGCACGAGCAGAACCGACCCGACCGCGATGGTTAGTTTGTTTATACCGTGTGAACTCTTCCCACTAAGTGACGCAGTTGATCTGCAAATCACTGGCATGCTATCCATGCGCCTGATTCAGCGCCGCTTTTACTGGTTTCCGATTATCCGCAAAGAAGAAAGAATTTTTCTACTGTTCAAAAAATGTGATTAAATTTAGTACTCCACAATTAGGGATTGGAAAAACTGACACCCTTATGCCGTGATTGTCCTTTGCACACGTCTGATGTGAATCAGAAAAAAAATTCCACTATTTCTACCGCAACATATTCAGCGCAGTCTGTTTCCATGCTGCTACTTATTCCTTACCAGCTTATGTGGAAATTCCTTAAGAGAACATACAACCGGACAAACGGTCAAACTTTTTGAAGCTGAGCGACAATAAAATAAATTCTCTGGGCGAACCATACGACTACAACTCAGTTGTGCATTATCGAAGTGGTGCTTTTGCCATACGTGGAAAACGGGAAACAATAAGGCCTAGGCAATGTTGCCCGCCCCCAAAACTTGGTCAGCGAATCAAGCCCAGTCCGAGTGACGTTAGACAGGTGAACATGCTCTACAACTGCCCCTGTAAGTTATCAAGTGCATGTTGCAACTACTGACATGTCTTTTGAGAAATGTGCTATCAATATTTACGAACTTGACTGACTTAGGCTGTCTTTGAACATAAGTGTACTTGTGATACCTCAATATTGGACGAAGCCCTTATTAGCGGGAAACAACATTAGACATTAGAAGACAGGCGTTATGACAGACAGTATACTGCGGCGTCGCTTCAGATACCAGTGGTCACTGAGGAGTCCAAGGTTTATGCTGACAGTGTTAAGTCATCAGTGAGAAAGATAGTGGACTGTTGCGTCGGTTGTTTTATATGCGCATGGGAGTTAGGTTGAGACTGCTTGTATCCATCGGTGACATCTGTACCGCCCGATATGGCATGCGTGTATTAATCTGTATAACTTTAGCGGAAATGGAAGGGGCCTCCGTTTTAGTGAGGACGGTGACAGCTGCCCGTCGTCGGTAAGACGTGTTTTCCGCCGTTTTTGCTCGTCTCGTCGTCACTGAGTAAACTAAACACAGTCCCACACGAAGTTTCCCCAAAAGTGGCCGTCTGCTGAATTCCAAGCAGGCGTCTGTGTGTCGTTCTATCATCGTCATTTTTTCGCCTGGTGATTATCCGTGGATTGGACGAGGCTGTTTTCGGTTTACATCGTGGACTTTGTTCATTTTTAAAATTGCCTGGGACTGCTGGTTTCCAGGATGCCTGTCTACTAAGGATTCATACAAACTCATATCGAAAACTGATGTTGTATGGTAGTTTCCAAAAATATTCTTTATGATGATGTCCTTAATGCCAAAGGCGGTGGCGTTTAAAAATATGATTCACGTAGCTTCCACCTGTATGCACAACATACATGGAGTATTCAATAAAACGGAAGGATATGCAGCGTCAAACTTATAGTCACAACGGATGAGATCCACTTCTCGAGACAGCAAAAAGGAGGAAAAACATAACGTTTTTGGCGATAAGGACGCCTTACTTTAATAGCAATGAGAATCAGAACGTGCGACTAAATCCCCCGAGTGCTGACGACATAAAGCTTGCGTTTCACGGACATCCCATTTCACGCTTACGTAAGGTGGTCGAGTGATGCATAATACATGTGCGGTTTAAATCCCACTTCAGTGGCTGAATAATATCTCGCCGGCAATGCAGTTTACTATCAGCATTTTCAGGGTTTTTACTAGGCCTGCATAGCACATTTTATACAGGCCTGATATTCACTTATAATAACGGTCTTTGTTTCATGCGCAAATGTTTTCAGATGATTTCCTATTTCGTTGATACGCCAAGCCCGCGATTGGTATGGCAGCCGTCAGATTGCTAAAGTGAAGGTATCTTAGTTGCCATTTCCACAGTGCTCGATTAGGTACTTACGACTCGACGAAGTACTTATGAGTACGTACGGAGTACGTATGACTATCATAGGCAAACTGTTAATTATTTTGTATGTTGCGCGTGATGCATTTGCTCATACATTTTTTGAAACCCCAACAGTACATACTTATTTACACCCACTCCTAGTCGAGTGTTGTTCATGTAAGGCAGTTTAGGCGTGTGACGCGGCTTCAGAAAGCATTATTATATCTGCGGCGTATTTCCTGGCAGGTCCAGGGGAATGTTAGTGTCATTTTATGTCACTTGTCTGTTCGGCATCATACTACAGACCTTACTATTAGAAGTGTGGGGTATCTGCTATATTTAAATCATGACAAATTGAGAATGCCCAACTAATATGATGTTTTAAGACTACGGTCGAAATCCGTGCTTCACGACTAGATCTCTGAACTCTAAAGTGATCCATAATTTTCCCCGGCCTCTCTGCTATTTCTACATGTTAAAATAATCTGCATAATTAAGGCACATCAGAAGAATTATGGACAGCTCAAGAATGCATTTTCAAAAATCTGAATCATTAAGTCATCCTACCCTCTTCATCTGTTAACAACCAGCCCGTTGTTGCCGATAAAGACAAGAGAGACTGGAATACATAATAAACGTTTATAGGCTTTTATGTTTATATGATGCATGAAGTGATAAACGCCAACACTAGTTCTAATTTGTGAGTCCTATCGCCTGGAAAGATGTAAAAAACCTCCTGCTAATTTTTTGGGGAAAATATTTTGCTCACACTGATTTCGTCCTTTAAATCTCCAGAAAATTTATAGCGAGAGTCAATGAATAAGAAGCTGAAAGTCTGCCCACAGCAAACAAGCACTACTCCACTTATTAATTCCAAGTTTGGATGGTATTTTTTCGTGCGTCTTAATTGGTGGCGGTTTCTCTCCAGGTGCGGTAAATAAAATTATTTGGGCAAAAGTGTGTTTTAGCCGTTTGCGGATTAACCCTAGCTTTATAAACAAAAGTTTTCAAATTGGAGGTCTTAATTTTGAAACTCGATTTGCCCATTTTGAAATAAAACAGTCTCTTAATCAGTAAGTTCGTCAATAATATTCATAAGATGAGTGCGGCGACTCGAACTATTTCTGGTCGGCAGCGTGGATGTGTGCGTGCAGAATTCATCTTCAGTAGCCATCGGTCATTGTTTCTCAGGCGAATGCCTGCATGGAGGTTGCAGCTTGAAAAGGATAGCTGGGGAAAACACCCGTTGGCTCGGCCGTGGGCAGGCGTTGACTTCATCAATGAGCCCTGCAAACATTGTAAGTCAGCATAAAAGTCCGCATAATCGAAGGACAACGTGAAATAATATAAAGTTTAGCATATTTTTTTCCTGGAAATGATCGACTTCGAAATTCCAATATGGGTACGCTGCGCCCAGCACATCGAAATGCGTGGTGGTTTAAACTGAGAAAGATGATTTTCCCCAAGGGTACCTTGTGTAAGCTCATTTCGCAACCAGTAACCCCAGGCTCGTGTAATACGATACGACATTTAAAAATAGACATACTTCCGTTTTATTTCTTCTTTTAGGCTAATATATAGCAAAAGAACCCAGCGCGTTTATTGGAAAATAAACGAAAGTCAAGTCTCCATGAATAAAATGTAAATGAGTAATCTGCTGCCTGTAAACTTGCGACAGCCTAGCGTCCAATGAAACGAACAAGCAATAATAGAGAGGAACAGTATGTGCCAAATATAGCAACTGTGAACATGCTCTGCAAGGTGGCGCGAAACAAATGAATATTGGCGAAACTATGGAAGTTAGCCCTAAAAACAATTAAAAAACCCACTAACTTAAGTGAGGAAACCTGTGTGTATTTGTATAATAAGTCAGTTGGCTGCTCTAAAGTAGAAATTTAGGGAAAGCAAATATTTTTTAAGGGTTATGCACAATAATGAAATGCAGTTATGAACAGGGTGGGTAATAATGGTTGTTTATTTCCTGCTAAAATACAGAACATCAGTCCCGGGTGGCAGCTTGATATTCTGATCAACACGGATGAAATAACCGAAAGCATAAACTCGGACAAGGTGGTAGAATAATGCCTGGCCAGGGGACTGTTATCTAGCGTCGCAAAATGTCAATGTTTAGTCTACACACTGACAGATATGTATTCCCGTGGGGCAGATGTTAAAGGAGGATAGCTTTAAGGGCTCCCGTGTCGGGCCAAATAATGTGAGCACACGTAGACGGACTTCATTATCGTCAGTGTTTTTGCCTGGATAGCGTTGGTTTAAAGGAAGCGTAGGAAATATTCCTGTCACACATTACGCAAGCATATCCTGTGCTTTCTGAATAAGGAACCGGAACGTCTTTTTCAAAAACTCAAATTGACGATCATTTGCAAGTAAAATTTTAAACGCGAACTCAACGTGATCTAACTGCCATATTACTGGTTATGAGTGGGACTACACACATTTCCACTTTACGAAGTAAATAAGCCATGGCGTACGCGTGTGGCACGGACAAAACTTGGAGATATCATGGAATACGGGTGTATGTGCCCTAACTGACTTTAAGTAAACCAAAACGCAGTGGAAGATCTTTGCAGCAAGCGTTGTATAGTGAGCACAAAGCAAGGCGTAGCTTATGTCTTGACCTGATTATTGAACGACCTGCGGAATGTGCAGGTACGGCAACACGTGCAAAGATGTGAGGCCCAAATGGACTACCTTGTTCGTCTTCCATGCATAAACCGCAAAATAAAAGATGATTTTACATACCAAACGTAGTTAAAACTGCTTCTTTAGGACCTCCACATCCGTTTCACTGGAGCCGTGTTTTGTTTGTTTTGTCGGGTCTTCAATCGTTCTTTGTTGTTTTATGACTGGTAATGTAATCGTGCACGACAAATAAACACTTACCTGTCTGTGGTCTGTTAATTTTTGTTAAGCTCTCTGCAACTGACGCCTAGAAGTCTGGTGTGACTGTGGTAGTTGCAGCAGAAACAGCGTGCCTGTTGATTCGTCTACTCGTCGTAGTGTGAATTTCTGAATTGTAGATGTTCGCGTGAATTGGGTGCGAAAACTTTGACTGGAGAAGTGGGCGTACCTTAACCCTCATAACAGTTTGTACTAAGTTTCGTCCAAGAAATTGAAAACAAAATGCACAGCACTCTTTTGACTGCCCTACGTGCCTGATGAACCTCTTGGACGGTGTACGCAAAGCAGGCACGTCGCCTGAACCACTTCCACCTCAGTTGTCTTCGTCGCATCCTGAGGCTGAAGTGGCAGGATCAAATCCCCGACACTGATGTGCTGGAACGGACGGGAATCCTCAGCATCTACGCCATACTGAGGCAAATTCAGCTGCGCTGGAGCGGCCACCTGGTGCGCATGGACGACGAGCGACTACCCAAAGGACTCTTCTAAGGAGACGTCGCGACGGCTTCTCGCCGTCGAGGAGGCCAGATTCGCCGTTACAATGATACCCTGAAGTCCTCCCTGAAAACCCTACAAATCAACCCCGACAACTGGGGGGAGCTCTCACTCGATCGACTGACCTGGAAGAGGACAGTGAAGACAGGTGCTGCGATCTACGAAGCCAACCGCATCGCTGCCGCCAAAGCGAAACATGAAGCCTGCAAATCACAACTTCGCCTAGTACGCAACGCCGCCGCACAACCGCTTCCAACGGACATTCTGGGCTCGAATCGGACTTGTTGGACATCTTCGGATTAACTGCGTCTCTCGAACGGCACCAACCATCGTCCTCTCGCCCGCCTCTTCCTCCTCCTCTCCGCCGCCAACTAATTCTGACAATTCTTCTGACCCACCACTTCCATCCCCCTCCTGCTCCTCTTCCTCCTGCTCCTCCTACCCCTCCTTATCCTCCTCCTTCTCCTCCTCCTCCTCCTCCTCCTCCTCCACCACCACCACCACCACCACTGCCCCAACGGTGGCCGCTCAGGCGGCCGTCTCGCACATCACCAACCACGACACAACAACAGACACCACCCCCACCTCTCCCGACTCCAGCGATGAGGATCAGGACAGCACCTGCCCTCACTGCGACCGCACCGTCACCTCACTCATCGGCCTGGTCGGTCACTTGCAATCCATCGCACAGAGACGGGCAACCCAGTGCCTGGAGCACCAACCTACACCCACCGCACTCTCCTCCACTGCCCACACTGCCCTCGCACCTTCAGACATCGCATGGGCCTTTTCGGCCACATGCGCATACATGAGAGCGGAATTGACCACAATTCCGACACACCCACCACGTCCAACACATCCACCATGCCCAGCACCACCCCTGCTCCATCGCCATACGCGCCCATCACCACTGCCTCCTCTACAGCTGACACCGACACCACCGACCTCTCATGCCCACACTGCCCACGCACGTTCACCTCACACATCGGCCTGGTCGGTCACTTGCGAATCCATCGCACAGAGACTGGCGAACCAGTGCCTGGAGCACCCATCCACACCCACGACACTCGCCTTCACTGCCCACATTGCCATCGCACTTTCAGGCATCGCATAGGCCTATTCGGCCACATGCGCATCCACGATGACCTGCGGTAGACAACCCCCGGTTACACCACACATCCACACAATCCCTACCTTCCTCCACTATCACAACACATCAACACGCACCCAACTGCCACCTCCCACGCAAGTGGGAAGTCCGCATCTTGACTCGGTCCCCATGCGGCCTCGGCTGCACGGGTGACTTGAGTCCGAGACTATCCCGACACTTCAAGTGTCGTGGATAGGAAGGTTGCTGATTGACGCCCGCTCTTGGCTCACGCAGTTCGTCGCGTTGTGTGTGTGTGTTGTGTGGAGTGGCGGACTAGTGGGCTGGGGACGGGCTGAACCTGCACCTTCCACGGCCCTCTCACGTAAGTGAGAGACACGCCATCCAACCCCCGTTGTGTGAAATCCTGGCGTTGTGTGTATGGGGGGCCAGGTCGTGCTGTGGCGCGCGCAGGCATGGTCAGTCGACCATGTCAGCCACCGCGCCCATTTCCCACTCTAGTTTACCGACCGGCTCGGACGGCGGCTGGAGTCTTGGAATCGGAAGGGAGAGTGAGGTCGACGACTCAGCGCACTTTCTCCTCACTATAAACAATCTGACGCGCTTGAAGCTATCACGGTGCGCTAAAAGCCGTGGGTTGGAAGGTTGCCAACTGACGGGGTACCTTGGACCTCCTCCTTGACTGGAGGCGGTCTGAGAGTCAGGCTGCAATGGCTCCTTTTTAATGTGGCCTTTATGGCACTCCCACCACAGTGTGGGATCCGAGCCAGGCGTTGGCGGTACGCCTATGTGCGGCTTCGGTCGTGCCAGCCTCCAAATCTCTGTTGTTGGTTGAAATCCTGGTTATTGTTGTGTGGACCAGGGGGTGTGGTGGAACGCCAAGGTGAGGATCCGTCCGAGCCATCCACCTGCGGCCTCTATCGTCTCCAGTCTTCTGGACTCTGTCTTGACACCCGGCTCGGGCGAGGGAGGAGGAGAGAGTGTAGGTAGATGCTACTCAAGTCTACTAGCACTATAAACCCCTGCGCAAGTCACCGTCTCTGCTCCCACTGCTGCTGCAACTGTGGGGCACACGGTGGACATCATCGAAACCGATGGTCGAACTCTCATTTTGTTCAGGTGGAATGAGGAGACGGCGATGGTCGTAAGAATCAAGTGCGGCTTTTCGGCCCGGCGGTAAGCAGGCGCCTCGTAATGCTATGGGCTGCTCCGATTTATCTTTATGTCTTTAATGTATATAGACTTACTGGAACTTTATAAAGCTGAAGAGATTGCTCATCTCTCAGTTAATTATGCCGTTCATAAACCAGTTTTCAAGTGTCCATCACCGGACTGGCCACTAACTCTATTTTTGCCGGCTTCGAAGCTGATCCCTTACGCAGAAACGATTTATCTGCGCGGTTAGTTGCAAACGAACGCATGCGGAGGTAGGGGCCGAGTCTTCTGTGTGTGTACTCAGATCGCCACATTAATTATAGCCTATTTCCTTTTTCAGACACAGGATAAAACATCAGTAGAAGTCGTTTTTTCTGTACGAAAACGCAGTAGTGACCATAGGCCCTGACAAACGCTCAGCTCTGGGCCACACGCTCACCCGTCTGTATGGTTATGTGGATGTGAATGAATGCATCATTGTTAAGTCTACGCTAGATTGGTTAATTGGTAGGGCAATTACAGAGTCCGTAGACGCCTGTGATTGGCTCTCTTGGAGGCCGCATGCACGTGCGTTCTAATCGGTTGGTGGTCGTGATCGCATGATTCCTAGAACACCGTTGTTACCAGAGACGGATGGCATATATGCACTGAATGCACCACAGCGCTCATCTTCGTTACTAAACAAAATGATGAGTCTTCATTTGAACCAACGATGAAATAAATGATTTAGTTGAGTGGACATAAGGCCAGTGGTGACTCTGATCGGAGAAAAGGCTGATGCTGCGACGCATGCAGAGGTGCCGTCTGGGCAGCAGCCAGAGCCAGTTCTGGTGTGATCTATTCAACGTGTGTCAGTTGTCTGACATGTTGGAGTGAGGTGGAGGGACGTTTTCGGCGCAGTACACCCGAATGAACGCTGACCTTAATGAACCCGTCAGTGATGAGGTTCTCTCATTTTGACTCAGTGGTTGCGGAGCGTGCCGAATCCAACGTGGCTTCCACGAGTTAGGCACAGAAGTAAGCTGTCGATTTGGAAGGTCATGAGGGATGGTGACGGTGATACTTGCAACGGGTGTCCGAAAAGGAGAATGAATCCGATGTTGACATTGCTAAGCGAGTCTTCATACATTTAACTGGAATCACGGGGCTGAGTTATGTATGCCACATGGGCTTTATTATCGACAAGGTGTCGATAACTTATCGTTGTGTTAAGATCACGTCGGGCTGAAGTAGGTGGGCTGCCTCAGGAAATGTCAACTGAAATTCATGATGAGTTTTCTTTACAAAAAGATTGATTAAATAGGGTTGATAAACTAATTATCTTAAGGTACAATCGTCTACTAATTAAATTACTTTAGGATGCCGGCTTTCGAACGAACTTCATTCTGACCGAATGCAACAATTAAACTCTGCGAAAAAATGATTGCTTAAGCAGCATGCGTTTTTCTTACTGATTTTTGGTGACTTAGAAATTCAATTATATTTCATGAAAAACATGCATAAAATGTTCATTCGTTTATTCATTCGGTAGAAAATGACGTCTTCTTCCGATTTTTTACTCGAGGAAAGTGTATAATTCGGCTTTTAAAAACGTTTCCGAATTCCGAGTAAGGTTGGACCCGACCTACTTTTCGGGATTTATAAATATGAAGCCGCATATTTTCCGCGTGCGGAAAACCATACATTTTTCTAAGTATTATGAGGAGACCATATGCAGTTCGTAAAATCTCGGAGGGGAATTGACCGATATTGTTATTTTTACAAGCAGCATCGTTACATGCAGAGATATGACATTTTTTAAACGGCCATTACACGATATTCAAAAATCTTACAACTAGAGACTCTTATAAAACAGAATTATACCCTCCCTTCGAGTATAAAATTGGAATAAGACGTCATAGTCTACCGAACGGACGAGAGTGAATATTAATATACGCGTGTTGAAGTGAGTGAAGAATGTGTACTGCCATCACCACCATATGTTCCAATTTGTCTCTCCAACGCAACACATATCCACATTTTGACATGGTATGCTGTCAACCACTGATGATTGTCACTTTGCCAGTATGGGGTTTCTGGGTCTCAAGAGTCAATAGCTAATTGTGCATTTCGACAGTGGCTCATTTTGATCTTAAATGTTTTCATCACTGTCGCTATTTTCTTAAGAAGTTTTTCAAATGGAAGGGCAAGATTGAAACTCATTTTCTAACTACAACTTTGCATCCGCGTGTCCTCTTCATACATCTATAAAGGGCACCTTAATGTTACTTTCGATTCCGAGTATGAAGTACAAATAATTCACTTTCTTCTACCTCACACAGTTTCCGCTACATTCACTTTAATTTCGTTGAGACGACCAGGAGGCTAGTCGAATTTCAACAGAAAATGAACTATTGGCCATAATCTTTAGATAGACTTCTGTAGGTATATCCTCGCCTCCCGATTTTGTAGCTTGGGCGTCAGAAAAGGTCATTAGACTGTCAATTATTTTTTTAGTTTATTGAATGTAAGAAGAGTCGAATTTATCATTTATAAATGGGACAACATTTTTTTTTAAATTAAAACGAAGTTGTCATCCACGCGAGTGAGCGGCATGTCAGGTAATGCAAGTTGAAGATAAGTCTTTAAGCAAACACATCGACAGTTTTCTTTGTTGCTGGCAGGCTCGACCAACTGAAGTAAAGAAAGTTTTTAGGCACACTACCAGGCGCTCGATGAGGGTACACAACCTACTCGTTGTTTGACAGTATTGTTACCAAGGTCTTTGTGGCGTCACATCGTCTTGCAACTTCTCTGATGAGATCTCAACCAAAAAAGCCGAAATTTTTTGAGCCGGTGACTAAAATATACTTCAGGGGTAGACGTTTCAGGGACTCGTGAACATATTTATCACAAATGACATGTTTCCTTAATTCGCCCGCACCAGGATTAAACCTGATATACCATGAAATTATGCTTGCAAAAAGGTCATTGAAAGGCAGTATTTATAAACTGCTTCTCAGCTAGGCCAAAAGCTGAATTATCCCTCCTGCCTGAAAATACGCATACCATGATTGTTATGCTAATTTCAGAATAAGTCTGTATCTTTATCATGAGAATCAAGCTTGCTGAGTCGAGTTCCGTAGGTCTCATACTTCAATTCATAGTTTAAAGGAGATTATCGGAGAAAATATAACTATAATTATCTTGGGCACAAGGGCTGAGACGTGGTGTGGTTCCACAGTCTCATACGCGTGTATGGAAATATCGAGGTTCTACAACGATACCTAAATAACGCGTGCTTGTGTACAAAATCCCCGCGGCAGCTGCGGGGGGGATTTACTGGAGCAGAAAAGTCGCGAATTTACTTTCCAACGCGTTTTAAAACCGGTCTGCAAGGATAAGGCCTCTGAAGCAATCCAAAATCCCCATAGTCCAACTTGCTTCAGGGTTTTGATAATGCCTCTCTAAATCGAAATAACTGAACCGTAAAATGAGCAAAAACTTAGGCCGTTTTATCCAGATCCGAATCGTCATGAATAAGACCGTAATCAGTAAACCGGACACCTGCTCCCTCCACCTCTGTAAAAATATCCCGCAATTCGACAGTAAATTAAAGTACTACTGCTGCAACGATAATCCTTCATAACGGTGTCTCAAAAAGCACTGAAATTACCTCATGTTATAAAAAACAACATTGTGAACGACTAAATCAGGAACAATGCAAAATATAATTTTCAAGGAAATTAAAAATGACGATAATGAAAAATCGGAGTACGTCACGCAGCGTCGAAAATCGGTGAAAAATACATAAAGGTCTTCTGCAATTAACGTGCTGTCATTTTCACTACTCCTTCAGTAGGTGTGTGATA